GTTGTAATTGGCCAAAGCTGTAACGAGAACCCAGCCATCTGGTGATTTACTGCGTTGACATATTATGTTAATTTAGCAAAATTATGGCAAATCTGAATGTTTCGATAAACAGGTAACGTCTAAAAAACTTGCTGTCTTTTCATAAATCTAACATATTTTTCATTCTTTCTCACTCTTGTCTCACATCAATTAATACCGACAATATTGTCGGAAGAAGGCAGAACCAAATATCTCTGCAAATATTTGGGCTAAAGACCCCGGAATACCTCTAAACTATAGCGCTTGAAAAGTTTACTTAAATAGTATATTCAATTCAGCGGATAGTTATAAGCAGCATTTGTATTATAAGTCAAAACAAGGGTCAAGATAACAGGTTGCTTTGTTATCTCAAGTTACTCAGCCATAGCAACCATATACATTACAAATTCCGTGTTTTTTTTCACTTTTTTGTTAACGTTCTCTGTTGTTTTCAAAATTTCTGAATTTTACATATACCATTCTGTTATAATTCCGAGTAATTTTGGGGTATATAGGATGTGCATTTTATAATTTCCAACGATAAACGTTGCTAAGTGCGTGCTTCTGCGTGCTCGGAATGTTGTAATGCGGTTGGAAAATGTGACAAGACTCCCCAAGGGTAAATTTAACCCCAAAAATCAATTCATGATTTAAAATTGGACCAAGGGGTCAGCTTTTCGGCTTTTTTTGCCCGAAATTTTTTTCGATCTTTTTATTATTGCGAAATATTATTGGCGGTGATGCAATCATTCATATAATCACGCATGTTTATATAAAAAAATCGACAAAAATCTTCTAAAGGCTCGATTTTTTTTTATTTTTTTTTTTTTAATTGGTTTGTCACTAAAAGTTACAGCAGTGACAGGAGGCAATAACAGGACATAAGTCCCAATTTGTAATTGTCTCCTTATCTAAAAATAAATACACTAAAATACAACTAGTACAGACATATACAGAAATTTTACAAACAAACTCGGGCGGTCACATATGCTTACATTATTACAAAACAGAAGTTATTATTACTAAGTATTATGTATTATGGAGGAACGTAACTTTGCAGAGTATCTTTAGATTGAAGTATAAGCCTTGTTTTAAGTGATTGTAATGATGAAGAGGCTTTAGTATCATGCGGTAGCTTGTTCCACAAATTTATCACCCGTGGAAAGAAGGAGAATCTAAAATAATCTTGTTTGTGTGATATCTTGGTTTTAAAGTTATGTGAACTAGAATTACGTGTTAAACGAGCACAGTTTACTGGAGAGAAAATGCCCTTAGAGTCGATATACATAGTACCAGAGTTGAATTTATAAAATAGAGTAATGTCCTTGATAGATCTTCGATATTCCAGGGGTAGCAGGTTAAGTTCGCTGAGTCTGTTGGCGTAAGATACATTACTTTCTGGGTAGTTCAGGATGAATTTGGTGGCGCGGCGTTGAACATTTTCAATTAATGCCCGATGTTTAGCAGTGTATGGCGACCAAACACTGGAGCAATACTCCAACTGCGGGCGAACCAGAGTGCAGTACAGCGTCCTCCTTGTCTTCACGTCTTGCACATCTCTACATACTCTCTTCACCAATCCCAGCGTTCGGTTTGCCTTTGCCGTGATTTCCTCGATGTGCTTAGACCATTGTAAATCTCTGGAGACAGTCACACCAAGGTCTTTGATGCTTGACACACTCTCCAACAAATGTCCATCCAAGATGTAGTCGAACTTGTGACTGGGTGACTTTTTTCTGGAGATGCGCAACGCTTTACACTTCAAGGGATTAAAAAGCATTGAGTTATCAGCACTCCAATCCCGAATGTTATTCAGGTCTTGTTGGAGATTGATCGTCGACGAAGGACTATCAAGGGTTTTATACAATTTGAATCATCGGCAAACAGCGCTAAAGTGGACCCTGTGGTGATGTAGCCAGGCAGATCATTTGCGAAGACGATAAACAGAAAGGGACCGAGGATTGATCCCTGAGGCACCCCGGATGAAACTGGCAACCAGTCAGAAGACGCACCTTCTAATACTACTCGTTGGTACCTGTCAGACAGATAGCTATGGAACCATTGATGGAGGGAACCAGATATACCAAGTTTAGAAAGTTTGGCGAGTAGCAGGTGATGCGGAACTTTATCGAATGCCTTCGACAGATCCAGGTATAAAACATCAATCTCCTTGCCACTGGCTACACAATCCAACAGGTCGTGATACACAACCAGTAGTTGAGATTCAGTAGAATGGCCTTGACGGAATCCATGTTGTAGGGGGTAGAGGAACTGCGATGTATGTGGAAAACAATGGTTAAATACGCAACGTTCTAGCACCTTGGATAGGATGCACAGTAGAGAGATTGGCCTGTAGTTGTTTGGCAGTGAAGGATCGTTACTTTTATAGACAGGAGTAATGTTGGCCTTCTTCCAGTTTTCTGGGAAAACACCGAGGGATAAAGACATATTAAAGAGACGACACAGGCTTGGTGCAATAGCTGCTGCGGTGGATGTAATAAGTCTTCCAGGGATGTTGTCAGGTCCACATGCCTTAGATGGATTCAGTGTATTCAAAACAGCTTCTACTTCACCAACTGACAGTTCGATATCAGATAGTTGCTGATCAACATCACGGGAAGGAAAAGATGCAGGAGAGACAGGTGAGTGAGGTGAAAATACGGAGTTGAAGAACGAGTTCATCAATTAGCTTTCTTAACTGGATCAGACACAATCATTTGGCCATCACGCAGGACGTTGGAAATAGAACGTTTAGTAGTTAATGACTTTATCAAGGACCAGAAACGTTTTGGGTTGCTCGCAAGCACATCACCAAGTTTATGGCCAGACTCCTTCTTTTTCTGCGCGATGAGTCTTTTTGTTTCCCGTCGAATTTCAGAATACCGCGAGAGGTCGTCTGGATTCCCTGTAGCCCGAGCTTTTTTCCGAAGTTTATTTTTGCGTCGGATACAGGACAACATTTCTGCATCGATCCATGGATGGGCGGACGCACTCTTGACCTGGCGCACCGGCACGTGATCCTTTACTGCAGCAAGAAATAAATCGCACCAGTGGGTTAGGGTTGCATCGACATTATTTGAAGTAAAAGCCAAATCCCAAGGGTTCTAGAAAGAGCCTCATTCAGGTCATTCCAGTTAGTGCGCTTGTAGTCGAAGACGTTGCGTTTGACAGTTAGTTTTTTTGGAGTGTTAAAATCCATGGAGAAACTGATGAGTTTATGATCAGTAGAAATGACGTCATCATACCCATAAACATCTTTAACTTTTTCAGGTACATTGGTTAATATTAGATCCAGTGTGTTAGAGATCCGTGTCGGGAAGTCTACTAATTGCCATAGGTAGTTATCACGCACTAACTTTGTGAAACAGTTCTCAATAGCGTCATTGGTTTTTGAGGTGCCAGTAGCCCAGTCTATGTTTGGCAAGTTGAAGTCGCCACATAAAATGAGCTGATCGAATTTGGCATTATGTGCTAGACGTAGAGATGCTTTTAACTCCTTCAAGTACTCAAGACTGGAATCCGGTGGTCGATAGTAGACAGCAACAAGAAGTTTACGTCTGTTGTTAGGTCGAATCTCGCAAAATAGAACCTCAGAACTATCCCCCTCCAAATCTTGACGACGAAAACACGTAATCGTATCTCGAACGACCAACATAACTCCTCCACCAGGCCGAGAAGTTCTGTCTTTTCTAAAGATGTTGCAATTTGTCCCGGGCAGCACTTCACAATCCATAACCGTCGGTTTCAGCCAAGTTTCTGTAACAGCGATCAAATCTTTATCAGCTGCGAGAACTTGAAGATCATCCAACTTACGCACGACGCTTCTTGCATTAAAATATAGGCAGCGCAACATGTTCTTGTTATTGGATTGCAGAGTAGGGCCAGGATTAGTTTGTATGTCACCAGCAAGTAGAATAAGCAGGAAGATGTGGGATGCTTTACCAGTAGTTTGGAAACCTAATCCATAATGGTAATCGGGAGGATAATTAGTTACTCTTAGCCGTTGATCACGAGTAGCGGTCCATGTGAAGCATAAGTTATCAGGTAGATTTGCCAAAGAACATTGGATTATGATCCCATTTAAGCGTTGGAGTCAACGTTGCCGGACATTTTAAGCACCAATAGACAATTGTCACAGAGCGAACACGAATTAATCCATTTACTATCCAATTACAAATATCTACAGTACCATAAGCGTCTCTATAGTTTCCATACAATATACGTGTGCAGATGTCTCGTCTACGTTTGAATACGCGCGCTTTCGTCGCCATACGCATGGCGTATACTGCGTGCGTCAAAAACCAACCGTCTAATTAATGTAAACGAGTCCAGTAACGGTTAGTAATAGATAAAAACCACCAGATATTAGCACAAAACAAACAAAAAGTTTAAAATAAATTCTAACTTCTTGTTAACTGATGTCTTACCAATCTCCCTTTAATAACATTTCAGCCGCAGCATCAAGAATAGCAGCAAAAAATGTGAAAATCTACGGAGCAGTTGCATGCGCAACTGTACGCAATCTCACGATTTTGACGCTAAGGATATCAAAATAATCCTGATAATATGAACTAATCTCTGTAACCTATTTTCGCAATATTTTATAGATTACGGCGTTATGACGCCATCTCTTAATGTCTACAAGCTTGTAAATAATTTGGTAAATAATTTTATTCTGGTTAGCCAATTATTATCGCGTAAAGATTTTCTGTAGTTGTCAATCGCTCAAATCTTGATTTCACAAGATATTATTCTTCAGAGTGTTTTTTTCTTGTCAATCAAAATTTGCTGGTTAAGGCAAATGTTTCGTTTAGTGGTATAATTATACTATTTCGCAAATATTGCTTGTTGTTGGTCAGCCTGGAATAAATAACTAAAATATATAATATAGGGACGAGAAATAAGGCTTCGTGTTGTTATATCAAAGCAAATTCGATAGAAGTTTTATGGCAAGCATCTAAAATGTTAAATTACAATATTACCTCGGTTCCGGATAATCTGTTACGATAAAGACGAAATGTCCCTTCCTTGTAAGGATTATAATGCCTAAATGAAAAATATTGTACACAAGGTTGTGATATCGAAGGCAACTAATGTCTTTCTTACCTTATATATCTATATATCAGGCGATGTATTTACACTCTGAAGAATATCGCTACACGGTGTTTCACGTCTTAAGAGCGATCATCAGGCGATGTATAACACTCTGTTCTAACACCATTAGTTAAGAATAGTGCATTTTGTTACCATTAAAAAAGGAAGAACATTTTTTCGAATAAAATATTTCGACATTTCGGTCCTTCCGATTAGCACTTGAATGCAGAATGCAAACACAATAACCTAATATTTTATTTCTATTACTTTGTTTCTGTGAAATTGATTAATCTCAAGGATGCCTAACATCGCCTGATGATCGTCCTTAAGATGTGAAACACCGTGCAGCGATATTTTAAGGATTGTAAATTAAATTATCTTATTCCCTCTACTAATTTCTAAACTACTTAACTAAACTACTATTTTATTGAAGAGATGTTAACATTTTGATCATATTCAAACGATGTATATTGAAAATAAAATATTCTTGCCAACCTTAGGTAATTATATACTATATACCTGACCCGAGTGACTTACGTAATGCAGCGCGCGGTCAAAATATAATTGAGACTGACAAGAGTGTCCTGTTTCATCAACATACGCAACCCTCCTAAGCCACTCTTCTAAGCCATTCGACTTCTTTGCTGGGTAATGAGATAAGCTGGGATTCTCAACGCTTCAGCTAGAAGTCGAGTATGCTCTTTTTAAAATCGGAATTCTGCTAAGCATGCATTCATATTCATCCATATCGTCAAGCTTAAAAGGCACATACTCTTGATATGGAAAATCTGGATTGCAGGATTAGCATTCATCATGTAAAACACAAAATTCTTCTGCAAATAAGTAGCCTAAGCCAAAAGACAAAGTACTGCGAGCTCTCGGATTTCCCTGAACTACATGTTAACTCCGCTGTTTATTATTCAAAATTTGCGCGATATTTTATATCAGGATTTTTCGTTGTACGTTGTCGTCATTAACTTGCTTATTAACAAATTAGCAGCGATAACGCGACGATGTATACATAGTGCCACTTCCCTGTGTGTGTTATTTAGCGTTGTCGCATCGCGTAAGCTTAAATTTCCTAATGAAGTGATTAGCTATGCCGCATGTCCTTTTTCCATACTTAATAATTATGTAATTCGCCAATCTGGATTTAAAATTGGGTGTAGAGCCCACCCTTTGCAAATAACAAACAACACAAGTAGGAAGATAAAGAACATTCTTCGAGGTACACGTAAAACCTTACAAATATTATACGACTAGTGGCCGTAGAACGAAAAGACACACTGGGGATTAGAAAGTTTTTAAAACAATCACATGCATCTCTTAGCCGCACATGCAAAACAACCTTCCACTGCATTTTTACCAGTTTTAGACCGTTTGTACGAAACCTTTTAAGTTTTTAGACCGTTTGTACGAAACCCGAATGGTATCCTCTGGCACAATTTGTTCAGCTCGTTCATCGTTGCTAACAATACCTCTCTGCTTACGAATTATTTTACCAATATCAAGTGCTCTGGGATTGAATTTACTAATAAAACAACAACATCTATTCACGGCCTTGGGCTTACTCATACGTGCTTCATTCCGCGTCTTATTTCCAACCTCCCTAAAGACCTTGTGAACCTCCCAATCCCTATATATAATATTTGGGATTTAGGATGCGAGGAAAACTTTTGGCACCAATCTCCATAGTAAACTGTAGATGGGAATTAAATGTATTGAGATCTCGAATAAAAGCTCGAAGTCGTTCAATGGAGCTCATCAGTTTCTAAATGTAATTATAAAAGTATGTCCCACGCCGTTTACGTGCTCACGCGCTCACCCTCCCTAAGCTAAATAAATTATTGGTATTATTGCAATATGTCACTGCCATCTATTTTAATATAGCTCTTACTTAATAAAAAGGAACAAAAAATAATACCTTCCGTCAAATGTTTCAATATTAGGATCCGTTAAAGATTTACAATGCTTTGTCTCTCTTGAGGCCATTGTTACCTGAAATGAAAGTAAAAGCTCTTAGTCAGGGCCAGAAATCTTCAAACTTACACTTTCATTCCCAATGTGTGATTTTTGTAGTCAGTTAAATCTTTGCAAAACGACATGCATATCAAGCTCATATATACCAGGTACTTATGAGCGTTGCCTTTCAATGTCGAAGTTAACGCATGAGTGAAAGTCATTATTTTCTAACTGTGTAAATGAAGCAATCTGATTGGCTGAGAAGCGTTTCACAGCCCGCCGGAATTTTGCATCCTGTCCGCTGTGAAAAATGTATACAAAACGACAAAACCAAGCAATGTACGGCTAAAATGTGTGAAAACCAATTTTTTGCACAATTTTTTGCATCCGGTAATATATGTATCGGAGAATCCACACTAAATATAGAAGTATACTTCATTATCCTAAATGCTTGTTATATTTAACAACTTAGTGGCAAAAAGTATTTGCCTATACTAGTACAGCTCATATAATTTAGCCTCTTTAGTACTAATAAATTAATCCCCGAGCCGGTGCGAAGCACTGGGCGAGGGTACTAAATCCGCCCGGAGATTTAAATTACGCCCAGGAATGCAAATGCGAAATGAAAGTTGTCCGCCATTATGTCATGGACGTTGGGCGTTTTTGTAAGTTATGCGCATGTGTGAGTATTAGACGAGTTAAAACTGGTAACTAGCAAACATTTACAAACGTGCGATTGGCTAAATTAAAATTTGGGTCACGTCAGCATAACTGATATTTTGAATTATAAAACTTTTTTTCAATAATATTTTTCATTTGGATAGTGTTAAAAATATACGAAAAATTGAATCGTAAAATTGATTAAAATATAATGTAAAAGATGCCTTTGGATAGAAAAATTCTAACTTAAATGGATGGTAAAAAATCTACGATTTTGAAGCATTTTTAAAATGTTTTTGAACAGGTAAATGGGCAGATTTTGTATTGTAAAGCATACAAGTATTTTGTAAGTTTAATAATTATGTGGATTTATCAACAAATGTATGACACCTCTTTGAATTTATTCGCAAACTCGTTGAAATGATTTTGATTTGGAAAGTATTTATTTTTAAAGGTGAATTTGTTCAAATAGTAATTGAAATTTCGCTAAAAATTGTAGTATTTAAAACTATTCGTAGCATAATTATGATTATAGACAGTTGAATTTGATAGCTCGAGAGTCGACTTTATAAATTGTACCAAGATATAGGATTTTACTTTATGACTTCGATCATTCAGCAGAAACGAGTATTATAGAATTTCAGTGATCGAAATATATGTTTATTGCTTCCGGCGAGGGGACTTTGCATGCAATGTATTTCTAGTATATATAGATAGTTGCAACGTGTTTTTTTTGTTCATGTGTATAGTGATTTTCGAATTCACATTTCAAGGTTTTCAAAGCGTTATTTCATCGTTATTTCTGGTATTTGTATTTCGATAGCTGTTTCAGTAATGAAAACACATACCACAGTACATATAATTTGCGATTACAGTTTTTCTCAGTTTATATTCAAAATCGTGACGCCCACGCCAAGAAAATAGACTAGGCATTGGTAGAAACAACAATTTTTCTGCCCGAAGGATCGTGAAACAAAACCAAGTCGAGCTTTTTGGCTTCTTGTATAACACTTCTGGCTTCTGGAGTACTCGTCTTGATAGATAAAAGCAAACGAACCTGAAAGAACGTTATTAAAACCAAACAAAAACTCGACGCTGCATTTTATTTTGCAAAACACGACGAGGCAACGCATATTAAACGTTTTAAATATAGAAAAGAAAAACTGTAACCGCAAATTATACGTGGTATGTGTTTTCTTAACATAATTACTGAAACAGCTATCGAAATACAAATACCAGAAATAACGATGAAATAACGCTTTGAAAACCCTGAAATGTGAATTCATAAAACAATAACAGATTCAGAGGGCAAAGTACAAATTGTCAAAAAATCACTATACACGTGAACAAAAAAATCATGGGCACAAAAAATCACGTAAAAAACCCACGCGACCCACGACAATTAGGTTCCCACATAACTTGGTTTATTTGGTGGAGACATTACTACTAAACGTTAATCAGCTATCTGCAATGACCAGTATGCTGCCTACTTTCCACCTGAGGAAATGCAGTTCTTAATAACTCTTTACAAATATCATTCTCCTAACAAAGACCATCTCCTGGAAACGAAATTTCTGCCAACAACTTTGAGGTATAGCGATGGAAACCGGTTAACGCCACGTATCCTTTCCTGTCTTCCTCCACTACCGATATATTGCATTACACTCTACAACTGCATTACACCCGCAAACAATCCTGAAGCTGCAGCGTTTATCCAAAGTAAGTTAATTTCCAAAGAACCAGCAATACGTTTGAAATTAATTACCATGCAGACAAAATTAGAATCGTCGAAACGGGATGACACCCAAAATCTGCAAACAAATGTCGTCATAGTCTATAAGTGATAAGTTTCGTACGGTAAAAAAGAGCTCAAATTATCACGCGTATTTGGGCTGCCTATGGAAGGACTATTCTCAATTTTTTGTATTATTCACACGCCCCACCTGGAAATCGACTCGTAAGCTTATTAAAGTTGAGTGGGGCTGGCGTGTTTAAATAAAGTGATATGTGCATGTGTGTATAAGTTTAACGGGTCTTCGAGAACGTTGCGCCGAATAATATTTACCTACGAACGGACGGCGAAACACGCTGCTTCACCGACTACAGCGGCACGCTTCCTCGAGCTCTTTAGAGTCAGAGATGCCTCAGATAATCCTCCTTAACGCTTTCAACGATGCGCATTTAGTGCAAACTCAGGCCATCCTCGACAAATCGGCTGATCGGATAACGAGTGTAGATGAGGTTATCGTTGATGATGCTCCTGACCAATACGTATCCGCGTATTTTGTAATTAACTCTGCTGTTCTTACCGCGACGTCACGTCAAGTGGCATACAGCCACGGTGACAACATTCTACGATGTTCCCGCAGAATACGTGGGACAAATTCAATCGGGTGAGTTTTTTGACTTAGCTAAGCTTCTCCCAAAAAACTTATCTGATGGATATGAATATGACCGCGAGCTTGAATACTCGGCAATTAAGGCTAAAAGTTTTGTAAATTGGTTTAGGCGACAAAAAGGTCGAACATTGTCTCTCTTTAAGTTTTGACAACATACGTTGCATATTTGGCCAGAACTATCAAATGTACATCGATTAAAATATATTTAGCCGTCGTCCGCCACTCCCATGTTCGCCACGGTCTTACACTGAATTTACAAAAAATGGTGCGGTTGCAACTAGTACTATTGGGTATAAAGGATCGGTTTTTACGATGTTTTCACTAATCTTTTCGGCTGCTTTCGTCTGGCAAATATGAAAAAGGCTGACAGAAACTCAGGTAAAATTTTTTTTTATCCAAACTATTTCGTCTCAAGTTTTGAAAATTTCTTTCATTTTTCTTCCTCTTATTTGTGCAAAATTTGGCGATATATTTTTGGCGTAAAATCTTTGTTTTTGTCATGAAAGTATCGAAAAGTCAGGGTCGAACAACCACCATGTTCACGTTTTCATTTAAAATTGTTTTATACCAATTTTATGGATTGATAAGGTGTAATTTTGCACCAATTTTACAGCTCAGGAAAAAAATTAGCAGAAATCTGTTGACAGAAAGTATAAGAGATAAAATAATTATACAACGGAGCAGTACATGTGATGTTATGCCGACTCAAAAGCAGAACAGCTCTTCAACTTGGCACACATGCGTGACATGGATGGTAAAATATTCATAACAAAGACATAATATCATTGTCTTTTTTGAATTGCCATTTAACATTTTTTTCCCGCAATATTATACTATAAAGGTAGCCACAACGCGAGCAATGGCGTTTTTTAAGATATACCTTTACATGATGGCAAAGCCGAAGGCCGCGAAGGCGAAAAATATTAAACCCGAAGTTCGGAAGTGTTTTTTTGGTATTACTGGTTAACCCTTATTAAACATCTACTGTGTGGTAGTAGATAGAAAAAACAGTGTTTGGTATTGATGCAAAATACGGAGAACGTTAGAATTCGAATTCAACTTTTAAATAAAAGTTGGCCTTCAGGTCGGCATGCAAGCCATGCATCGTCTGTACTTTATTAAAACGAAATAAACAAAAACATTTCAGTCAGTTACTTTTTACAATTTAGACAATATTTTTACGATAAAGATAAAAAATACAGTGATATTTGTGAATAAATTTAAATTAACAAAACCATCTCAGTCATCAGTTGTGAAAATTATATAACTGACTGTCACTTTTCCATAGTTTTTGTCACATAAATATAAATTTTGCAGCAAATATATTGTACATCGCCAAATTTGGCACAAATAAGAGGAAGAAAAATGAAATACATTTTCAAAACTTATAGACGAAATAGTTTGGAAAAAACTAAATTTTTACCTGAGTTTGTGTCGGCCTTTTCCATATTTCCCCGACGAAAGCAGCCGAAATGATTAATGAGAACACCACAAAAACGCCTTAATTGAAAGGGAAAACTCCCTAACCTGAAAACTATGATAACAACAATAAAACCAAGCTTAAAGGTATCGAAAAATATGTAAAACAAGGGCAAAAACCGGGATGTAACTCGGCGAAAGCTTTGTACTGCAAAAAATACAAATATTCTTTTTTGCGTAATAAGCCTCGTTTCCATGTTGCGCGAAGGTTCGCAATTGGTATATATACCTCACAACGGGCAATATTACATTTTCCCAAGGTGCAGCAATGGTCCTGCCCAATTATATGACTGTTCACCTTAAAGAATCCAAAACGGACCCCTTTCTCGTAGGTCACACACAAAGTGTCGGAGCCACAGCGACCGCGCTTTGCCCTGTTTCGACCATGAAGCAGTATTTGACATGCACTGGAGGACGTATGCGACGTTTTATCTGGTTATGTAAATGTCCAAATATACAAGTTCTTCGTTGTTATTGGCTAGATGTATAATGATTGCA